AGGCTGGAGCCCTGCATCTCTCTCTCCTGTAGGCCATGAGAGGCAAGAAGGGTGCATTGGGGGACACGCCTGTGTGGCTTCCTAGGAGACCGTGGGAAGTCCCTGCATCTAGACCTCTACTCAGCTAGGTCTCGGGAGCAAGGAGGACAGGCTGGATGCTTTGATGGTAGACTCACAGCAACTGGGGGCTGGGGCCACGTCCACTCTGCACAAACATCTCCCGCCTTCAGTTGTGATCAGTGTCCCCAAGTCCTATTGTCACAGCTCCTCAAGCAATGACACCGTCCCTTCCACGTGGCTGCATCTTCCCTGAAGGAGCACTGTCCACCTCTGCACAGCCTTGGACTTGCCCCCAGGACATCCACGACTCCAGTACCATGTTCCACTGTGTGCACGCAGGCGTCTCATGCTCCTGGCACATGGTCACATGGTACTGGGCCAGGAGCTGCACTCATGTCCTCACTTACTTGTGGGGGTATTGTGAGGTGGTTCTGCTCACACCATCCTACAGCCTGCAAGGGACCACACTGGTCTTGGCCATGTGATCCAAAACATCAGACTTGGACCCACACCCTAAGACTGCCCTGCTGGCTCTCACGGTGTTGTGCGGGCCTCTGCCTGAGGGACATGTGATCTCCCTAGCTGATTAGAGCTCCACTGATCAGGACTCCTTCAATGAAGGCCTGGCCCCAGGGGGATTTCTTCATACCCTTCTTCAGAGTCTCCTTCACCATCCTTGCCAGCCCGAATCCCCCTTGGGCTCATCTCGCTTCACCTCTTCAGCTTACCAGCAGCCCCCACCCCTGCCAACTCTGCTTCAGCCCCTCCAAGACGCTTCCCAGCACAGGGCCTTTGCACATGCTGTCACTCACCTGGCCTGCTTCCCACTATGCTACACATTTGTAGAACCCCTCCTCCTCCTCCAGGCCAGTGTTTAGTGTCAACTAGTCCAGGAAGCCACCTCCAGTCAGTCTGCCAGTCTGCACCCTGTCTCCCTGCTGCCTTCTCTGCCCCCTAGCACTCACCACTGCTTCTAAGCTAAGTACCATTTGGGGTGACTTGTCCCACGTATACCTTCCTTGAAAGATTATAGCTTCATGGGGCAGCAACTTGTTCTCACACCTGTTGCTGTGGCAGTGTACGTGCTCAGCAAACATTTTGCTGAATGAATCCCAGAAAAGGGGGGAGGACTGGGGGAAAGTAACAAAGTCACTGAATTGAGAAAACTGAGTTCTGGGCTGGGTGCAGTGGCTTACACCTGGAATCCCAGCACTTTGGAAGCCTGAGGCAGGATTGCTGCTGCTCTGGTGTTGGAGACCAGCTTGGGAAACAGAGTGAGATCTCAGCTCTACAAAAAGTAAAGTAATAAATAAAAAATTAACCAGGCATGGTGACAGGCGTCTGTAGTCCCAGCTACTTGGAAGGCTGAGATCGGAGGATCTCTTGGGTTCAGGAGGTCAAGGCTGCGATGAACCAGGATCATGCCACTAACCCCCAACCTGGGCAACAATAAACAATTAATGAATTAATAGACAAATACAATTTTAACAATTAAAAAAAGGAAATCTAATTCTGGCTTACCCAGAAGCACACCTTTTGCCTTCCTGCCCCGCCCCCAGTACTGTGAATTATCACCAGAAAAGGGCCCCAGGGTCTCTCCCCAACTTGGACATCTGTTATTGTGAACAGATAGCCAAGCTCACACAAGATGTCCATGGCCCTGGTGTCATAAGATCTACCTTGATTTTAAATGCCAGGGACAGTTTTTTGTTGTTATTGTTGTTTTTGAATTGGAGTCTCACTCTGTCGCCCAGACCAGAGTGCAGTGGCATACTTTCGGCCACCGCAGCCTCGACCTGCTGGGCTCCTGCGATCCTTCCGCCTCAGCCTTCCAAGTAGCTGGAACTACAGGTGCACGCTACCACGCCTGGCTAATTTTTTGATTTATTGTAGAGATGTGGTCTCACCAAGTTCCCCAGGCGGGTCTCGAACCTGCGGAATCAGGCAATCCACTCACCTCAGCCTCCCAAAGCACGGGATTACAGGCTGAGCCACCGAGCCCTGCTGGCAGGGACAGTTTTTGCAGCTAGCTAGCTTGTTTGCATGGTCCCTGTGTTTTTCTCCAAGAGGAATGGTGGCAGCTGGGCTGCACGCTGGGCTGCTGGCTCATGTCCTGGGGTACAAGGTGCCGCAAGGGCTTTGGCCTCTGGGTTTTGAATGTGTGTCTGGCCTTCCAATGTGTCTTAAGAAACCCTAAAACCATGAGCCCACACAAGCCCATTTGACAGCAACTGGGAGCAGACCCTTTGGAAAGAGAGAAGGCTGGGTAAGGAGGCCAGTACAGGAGCTGCTTTCTCTTCTGGACTTCCAGCGCCATTTCTCATCTGTTTGCCCCCAAAGAGACTTGTTATACCCTTTGGGGGAACAGTGCTCTTAACCTCATAGAGCACTGGCCATGGCAGCTTCCCCAACATAAACACACACACACACACACACACACACACAAACACACACACACATATACATACAAACCTGTCACTCCATTTCCCTTGGGTATTGGAATCTCCAACTCTGTCTTCACAATGACAACTCAGATCAAAACTGAGGAATGTGGCATTCTCCAGGCACATGGAAATGCTTGCATATTCACCTGAACTCTCTCTTCCAATTCCTGATTTGTGAAACTTCTCAGAGCCCTGCTTGAGGCACTCGCCAGCACTGCCATCCCTGGAATGGGGCCCAGAAAGTGTATATATCTTATAAAGGCAGCATTTCTAACCTCCAGCAGAGAGGGAAAGGTGTTCATGCTGGATGAGACCTTCAGAAACAATGCCTGGAATGAGAGCTGCGACAGAGACCCTTTGTAGCCACGCTGAGTTTGGACGTCTCACAGCAAGATGATGCCATGTGAAGGGCACACAGCTGGGATTCGAGAGATGCCCCAGGGAGGGTTGTTTATTTAATTTGTCCCACCAAATGATCCTAGGATGTGTCTTAAAATGCAGACACGAATCCTCGAATATGAAGTTGTTATGGTTACAGAAAGGAAAAAATATTTGTGCACACAGAGATAGCACTAAATCTTTCTATAGTGAAAATAATCTCCTCTGGAAAGAACTTTGAAAGCAAGAGACAGTGGCATCATCAGACAGCAAGTGTGGTGTGGGGCAGAGCAGCCGTGAATGCATCTTGTGGCATTTGGGTGGTCAGAGAGCCCCACTCATGACAAAAAACGAGGGGGCTGGGGGAGGAACAGTGAGCAGACACACAACTTGGGAGCACACTGGAATTTGTTTATTTTGTACAAGTGATGTCATAAGCAAGGTTCTGCCTGTGTTCATCTCCAATAAATAAATAACTATGTACAAATATGTTGAGTTTACAAAACAGCAGAGTGCCTTACAAAAGATACACTTATGCGACACATTTCTTTCCACATGCTGAAGCAGGAGTTAGTTCTCAGCTTAGTTGAACCAAAGACCTTCTGGGCCCTAGGCAGCAGTATCTGGAGCCATGTACCCAAAAGCAAAGCTCCGCAGTGAAAATTCCTCAGTTTCTTAAAAATAAGGGCCTGCCTCAGCCTGCTACTTATTACTGGTCCATAGTTAATGTATTCCAGTAAACTGGAAGCGGTCTCGAACAGTTGTCCTCCAATGACGGGATAGACAAATCTCCCATAGATCTTGTTAAATGTAGAGTCTAATGAATAGAAGAGGTGAAGCCTGGGAACCTGCATTTCTAACCAGCTCCAATGCATGTTCTGGGACCACATTCCAGAGGCCTCTCTGAAGTGGGAGACAACGTCCCAGGGCATGATGAAGGCTAGGTCCCAATGAGGCATTCCCCCAAAAGTCATCCCCAAGCTCCCACCTAAGGCCACAAAACCAACAGGGCTCTGGGTTTATTTTAATCTACAAATGACAAGAGCAGTGAGAGTCAATTGCTAAGTGGCATGAATCACCCAGTTCAGAACTTCTCTAAACTGTCCCCTGCGGGATGCTTCTCTCTCATCTCACTCAAGAGCAACCCTCCAGCATTTCAAAAACCGCCAAAAACAAGTAATAATAATAATAATAACGAAAAAGGAAAGGGCATAAGACGCTGAACAGCAATGACTACTTTTCAGTCCAAATCAAAACAAGGACAGCATCAACAACAACAAAACTCAGGCTCATTGTTTCAAAAAATAAAGATTAAAAGCTCCTTGGGTTTAATCTCTGTGACCATCCAGCAATATTCTTGTAACTATACCTTTTACATCTTAACCTTTATTCAAATTATTTTGCTCTGGGAACCTGACATGTCAGGATATATTAGTAAAATCCGGTGAAAAAAGCAAGAGACCAACCCTTCTTATTTGTAGTGTTTTTGAGGCTGTGGCGAAGAGAAGGCCTGCCTGGGCAGACAGGGAAGAGCATCAGGAGGATGCTCAGACTCAGGTGAGGAGTCCAGGTCCTGGGAGGAATGAGAGGGACAGGGGCTTGCTCCATAGATGGAGAGAGCTGGGGAGAGGAATCCAGGAGCTGTTAAACTGCCTCACGACACACAGGAGGGTGCAGGGAGGGGCCAGGAGTCTGCAAAGTAGCTTTGGAGACATACAAGAAGGGAAACAGAAAAAAAATATATCCCGAATACTTAAAAAATAAATATCTTGGTCATCCCTAGCCTGGGGTCAGGGTCTTCCCAAAGGCTCCTGATCTGCATCCTGGCCCTCTGGTCCAGTGGTGAGGCCCTGGGACACTTTGCAGCCAGTGTCTTCATGGGAAGTTGTCACGGCTGCCCCATATCAGGTGACAGCCTGGGAGAGGCAGGCTCACCCTCCTCCTTTCAATCCCCCCTCCCCAGCTGGACATGGAATCAGCCAGTACAGCCTGGGGTAGACGGAGAAGTCTCCTCCAGCTGCAAGGCCAGTTAAGGTGCTTTTGATAGTCGGGGAGAGAGGGAAGGAGGGGAGGGAGGGAGAGAGGGAGGGAGGGAGGGAGAGAGGGAGGGGCGGCCCCTCAGAGCCTGTGCTCGGTCCGCACCTGCTGCAGCACCACCTCCTTGGCAGGCGATGCGCTCTTGTACTCCATCTTGGCCCGCGCGGTGCCCTGCTTCTTCCGCAGGTGACAGAGCAGTGCCAGAAGCGCCGCCACCAGGGACAGGCTGGCGATGGAGATGCCGATGAGCGCACCCGAGTGCACGCGCCCCGCGGGTGGGGGACTGGGCGTGGAGCCGGGCGCCGGACTGGCGGGGGGCTCCCCGGAGCCGCCGTCGCTGTCGCCGTCGCCATCGCCGTTCACCTTGATGGGATCACAGTCCGTGCTCATCTGGCCGGCGAGCGCCGAGTCGGGCCCGCAGAGGCACTCGTAGGATCCGAGGAGGTTGTGGCACACGTCGGAGCAGTAGCTGCCGTCCTGGCACTCGTCGATGTCCGTGCACATGAAGCCTTCGTCCAGGATATAGCCCTCGGGGCACTCACAGTTGGACAAGGTGTTGGGGTCGCAGATGGCGGGGCACGAGGTCTGGTTGCAAAATATCTGGCACCTGTGCGGCTCCAGGGGCATAGGTGCGAAGCCCTCGGCGCAGATGCAGCGGTAGCTGGTCGGGCCCTCGGGCTCGCACTGGGACTCGCACTTGGACCCAAAGCACGGGTCCGGGGGCTCCACACACTCGCCGTCCACCAGGTCATAGCCGGGAAAGCAGTCACACTTGAAGCCGCCCTGCGTGTTGATGCAGCGCTGCAGGCACGGGCTGGGCACTAGCGCGCAGTCGTCCACGTCCTCGCAGTGGTGCAGGTCGGCCGCCAGCTTGTAGCCTGTCTCGCACATGCACGAGTAGGAGGAGCCTGGCACGTCGGAGCCGCGGACGCAGAAGTGCTCGCAGAGGTCGCAGGAGTGTTCGGGGGGCGTGGCGCAGGAGCGCCCGTCCGCCTGTAGGACCGCGTCGGCGGG